CCAGCAGCATGTTTATGAGTTTTCCTTTCCACTGCCTATCCTCAATACAGCAAAACAGTATGTGTTAGGGGGGGAAAAACCTCCTTTTCTGATACAGACTCATTAACAGTATTTGCAAGGAGGACAAGGCCATTGTGAGAACAGGCAAACACAAGGATCTGACTAGATTACAGCACAGTCTCACCCAAAGCAAAGAAGAAATGTAGAAAATGATCAATCACCAAAAAAGAAAAGTCTTTGGAGAAAAATACGGTGCTTTAAGAGAAGTAAATTCAAGTCCAAGTTACAAACAAACAGAGTGGGAATGTTGTAATGTGGGAATGTTTTAGCTACTTTGCTTCCTATCATTCAAACTGTATTACTTTTCCACTTTTTTGCTTTTAAAAATGTCTTTAGATTAAGCCATTACTATCAATGTCAATCACAAAACCCCTGCAAATCTTCAAAGCAGGGCATTTGTTTAAGGCTTCAAAGAAAGGAGAAATACTATAAAACAAGACCGTCAAAGCCTTTTTCTTAAAACAACCACACTAACTATCTTTGAATACTTAACCAAAACCACATTCAACAAGTTCAAGACTGAAAGCATACTTTTTTTAAAAGCCAACTTTTTTGCCAATATTACTAGTCGCAGAAAGTGACTGTATGGCCCAGAAAGCCTCCGGAGGGTGGCCAGGTGCTGGCCTGCTGCTAGCTAGCAGCAAGTGAGCCTGCCAGCGCAGGTCCCCCTGGGGAGAGGTACTCCCCACGCGCCCGCCCGAGTGGGGTCTGGTGAGACCAAGCCTCCAAGAAACTTGCCATTTTCCTGGTATAGTGGTAGCGATACGGACTTCTAAACTATTGCAGCCCAAACTGCCACAGCTCGGCCAGCTAAGCCCGAATGCAGATGTAGCAATACTCCCGTTGGTGGCATCAGCTGTATCTTCACCGAAGAGGCTGTTGGGCAGGGATACACCAACAAGAGATGAGCCACAAGCGCTCAAGCTGTGACTGAACATCTGAGCCTAGTCAGGATGCTGTCAGCTTTAACTTTGAGTTCTTGCTCAGTTACATCCACGCTGTACACGGCAAGCCTTGTTTGCGTGTTAGCTGTCATGGGACACTTTGCCAGAACACAGACATCTCAGACTAAGGTCCATCCAGATCTGAGCTTTCCCATTTGACCCTGTCTGATTCCTCTTTTAGGAGAAAAAAGCAGCAAGTGACAAATGAAGAGGTCTGAAAGGTAATTTATTACCTAAAACCTCAGTGAAAAGCAGAAGCAAAAAAAAAAAACCCAAACAAATCAAAAGCTGTTGCCTAGAAGGATGATTTTGCTGAGGTCACCTATGAAAGGTGTAGAAGACATTGGGGCAGTGACAAAACATGGCTAGGCAGGGATTGTTATAAGAAAATCAAGTTGTCACAACCACATGGACTGTGCCTGTGAAAGGAGCTAGTTACAGAAACCATTTCCATGAGCATGTTCACCATCTTCTGCTCTGCTTGTGCATCTTCTGAATGATGTCCATAATCTCAGCCTAGTTTTCAAGGTTGTTTCTGCAGCCTCTCCTGCCTCCTATGTCACTGGATTTACCCTGTCAGCAGCAGCTGTGTTCACTAGTTTGTGGCTATCTTGGGCAAGTCAACATGAGCTACAACCACATCGTGGAGGGCATGGGGACAGACCAGGGCATGGTCTCTCTAACTACTAGTCTTCCTACCTCACTGCCTTTATGGAGAAACCTGGTCATTTACAAGCTACTGTTTAATTTGTTGTACTGTTGCACAGTTCAGTGCCATCTCAGAGAAAGCAAAGGACTTTTAGCTGTTGATGAAGGATCATGTTACTAACGTGCCTGTGAAGAATTTACCCTCTTTTTATCGGAGTGTGCTTTCAGCTTCATGGTACAGAAGAACAGATAAAGGTTAAGATACTAGAAAGCCCTCTGAGCCAAGAGCATGAGCCTGGAAAGGCTCTCATGGAGATCACTGTGGGATAATAGTGAGTAGCTGGGCCCAGCCTGGAATAACACAGTACCAAACCAAGCAGGGTCCTGGCTCAGCTTGATGCCGAGCCACATCTGTCAGCTGCCTGCAGTGCTGGTTTTAGGGCGCTGCTCCCTGTGCCACAGGCTGTGTCACGTGCTGTGCGGGGGAGATAAGAGATGGTGCTGCTCTGAAGCCATGGGGGGTGAGCCTGAGGTTCCTTCAGCTCCTCTGCCTCCCAGTCCCCCTCCCGCCCCGGGGAAGTGACTCCCTCTGTGCTGCCCCACTCACTGGTCCAGTCGGGCGGGTGGCTCTGCTCCCAGGGGCAGCACCACCCTCCTCCCCAGCTTCTGCCCAGCGGGACTTTGTAATGCAGGTGACTATCCTAGTTTATTATGGCCTCTGGGCACTTTGCAAGAAAGGTCCCAGACACCTTCAGAAGTAGCTGAAATCAAGGAGATCAAGTGCGAAGTCGTCAGCCAGTGAGACTCCCAACAAGTACGGTGAAGCCACAGATACCCACTGCCACTAATGCCAGCACCCCAGATCTTTGCCATGTTTTCTGCCAGGTCTTCAAATTAAACAGTCTTAGAAGATATGTTGATATCCTCCAGGCCTACTACCTTGTTTTCATTTTCTAACTGCACCTAAGGCCATGAAAACTTGAACACCAACATACAGTAACAGGCCAGACAAGAATAGGAAGGAGTACATGTCATTCTCCTTGACTGGTGGCACTGGAGCTGCCCAGTGGGGTCCCAAGCTTTGTATAGCTCATGTCATTGGTGTCTCTCCCTTTGCTTAATTAGATAGGGACTGAGGGCAGATATGAGGGACTGTCATCTGAGCTCTTGTGGCACTGCAGCTCTGAAACATGGAATAATTCAGAAGTGGGGTATGAGCCAAAACCACCAGAGTCTATTGCAGAGTAATTGCCATCTTCAGGATGTTCTTGGGATTCTATTGGGGCAGATGTGCTCACAAGTCCTTTTTCGCTTTAAGTTTTTCAAGTGAATTTCATATTTAAAACTGCATTTCTTGTGCAGACAGGTCAGTTTGTAGGCATAGAAAAGTGTTTCATGCAAACAAGAAAACCTAATACTGAACGCCAAGTTAAAGAGACCCTAGCCAGGCCCTTAGTTCCCTCCAGTCTGCACCTCATGGAAAGTAGATGGTCCCAAAGCAGCAGAATCGTGCTGTGGTGTGGCAAGTGAGTTGAATAGTCTGCCCACGACGGCTCAAGAGCAGCTGTGTTGATTTTCAGGTTCATTCACAGGCCTGAAGTTCCTTTTGGCTTCCCATGCAGGGTTCTCAGAATGCTCCCAAGTTGCCTCTGCTCTACAGACAGGGAAGCCGGGACCTGCCATGGGACACAGAGCAGCAGCAGAAATGCTGGTAGAAGTGGAGCTCTACATCCTTTTAAACTGATCTAAATCCTATTTCCTATGGTCTTGCTCACCCCCACGTGCCTGTTTCTGCTCCCTGCTGATACTTGAACACTCTCACAACAAGCAGGTTCCCTGCTCTGGCTTGTTGGGCAGGTACTGTGTGCTAGCACAGGCTTGGGAAGAAGACACCGACAAGCACCTGTGGAGCAATGAGGCACAGAGGGGTGCAGGGACAGTCCAGATTAAATAATTTTATACTTCTGTGGATCTGCACCCTCAGCTCTGAGCTTCTGACATGAGACACGCACATGTCCTGGTGCCAAGGCAGGGCTGGTTCTAGCAAGAAATATTTGAATTAACTCTGCGGCTTATCTCTGTGCATTGAGAAATACAGACATTAGCTAGAGACTCACAATGTCTCTCGAGATGAAACTACTAAAATTTTCCTAAACACAGGCAGAGCAAAACCTCCTGAGAGGAAGGAACTGGAGCAAGCCCATAGAGCAGACCAACCTGCAGGCCCGTAGCTGAATTCTGTGGCTCACTCACTTACCTTTAGTTATTTAATGAACAGCTCTGCAGGTGCCTGTCCCCTTGGGTGGGCCATATGTCAGCAAACATCAGCTAACCCTACCTTAAAGGAAATACTTCATCTTCTTTATTTCAGACAGCCTGGGACAGCCTGGCAAAGGCCACAGCCAAGACTATGCAAATGAAATGTGTCTTTGAAAGGCCATGGGGGAGCAAATATGTTAGCTGTGGACCTCATCTGCACTAAATCTTTTCCTACTTCCATAATGACAAAGTCTCTGCTGATTGTCCCTCTGTAGACCAGTCAGCTGAGATTTCTGAGTCTGCTCTGCAAAATGAGATCTGGTATTGCATGTGACTTGTCCAGTGTTTCTGAGCTTGCTCTGGAACAGACAGGTGGAAGATGGGCCAGATACATTTTCAGCTGGCTCCCTCAAATGCCTGTGTGAAGGAAATTCCTTCTCAGTTTCAAAAAAATGTAGTTTCTAGCCCCCAGGTCCCTCTTCCTCTGTCTCTGACATCTGCACCAAGAGTGTGGGAAGTGCTGCCAGGTCGGGAGGGTGTGTGCATGTGTGGGGGGGTCTTGTAGGGGTGTCAATGTGACACAAGCCACGAAGCAAAGGTCTCAGAACCCTCCCCATAACCTGGAGCCAGGGCTTGGGCTTCCTCAGCATGGTACTGTGCAGCTCAACACCAGATCTACCTCCCATCCACTCTCATGTGGTAGAGATTGGTTGGGGTTTGTTCTCCCAATGCAGTGAACAGCTCTCTTCTACAGGACATCGGCGCTCATGGGATTATTTTGTGACAGGGCGATTTGAGCTGAGCCCAAAGAAGCAAGCAGGAGGTTTCCTGAGGCTCTGGATCATACCCCTGCTCAGGTGTGACTGAGGAACCTGCAGAATGGGAAGAATTCAGAAGGGACATATTTTAGCCCTGATGCCATGTGTGGCTTTCTCTCCCCCCCTCCACCCTGCTCTGTCCCCACCCCGCCAATCAGCCTCTTTAACATGACAAAGAGCCTCAAGGAGCGGAGGATGGTGGATATTGCAGTCCCAGGCAGGGTATAGCCAGCTATAAAGGTAACACCCTGTCTACACTTCGGGGCTACCTCAGCTTGCTGGTGAGACCTGCCCCCCAAGTGGAGGTGGCATCTATTGGAAGGTGGGGGAACCACCCCTTCATCTGCCCCCCATGTGTGCACACTTGGCTCTGCCCCCCTACCAGGCTTACCCCAGCGGGACTGGCATGGGGTACCTGGAGTTTTACTGGAACTCGGAGGAAGAGGCAGGACATGTCCCCGCTTCGGCTGGGCCGGCCGGAGCCACCAGTGCCAGTCAGTCTCCGGAGGCAGGAGGGAAGAGGCGGACGGCAGGTAAGGTGTTTCAGCTAAGTCCTAGAGCTGATCCCCAGGATACCTGTGGTCCCAGGTCACCCACTCGCTTAACGACCTTGAGCAAATTCTTCTCTCTGCCTGCCTTGGTTTCCTAACATGTGAGCTGGGCAAAGTGCAATGTGGTTGGCAAGGAGGGTGGGTGACCTTGGGCAGTCACACCACCTTTCCATGCTACTTTTCTTTGGTGACTGTGAACCAGTTTCCGAAACCTCAGCAGAGCTTGCCAGAGTCCAGGCACTGGTAGGTCTGTGCTCCGGGCTGAAGGGCAATGTGACAACATGGTCTCATGCAAGTTCATGGCTCGCGGGGCAGGAATGTCTGGGCCTCCTTTTAGTCAAGTGCTGTCATGTGTGCTATGGAGAGAAACAAATCCTGAAGGTAATTCTGCTTGTGGTATCCCTTATCCCCTTACAAACTCTTTGTGCCCTTCATGTGCTCATTAAACTTGAGCTAAGGCATGCTCTGAATCACTGTGCTGGGAAATGTGCTGCCTTTAAATGCAGCGTTGAACTCTCTGCTTCTTTTAGTTTTCCATTTTCCTCTCTCTGTTTCCCTCTCCTTTCCGTGCTCTTGTTGCCTTGCCTTTCCCTCTTTCCAAAAAAGTCCCAGGCCCTACCGTGGTGGCATTTTCTGCTCCTGCCATTCCTCTCCCACTCCGGTGAGTGGCAACAGAATAGCTGATGAAAGCAGGTTTTCGCCCAGCCCCATTGTATGGTCAGCGGTTGTACGGTTAATGGGTGGGAGGAAAGTGAGCTTTTGGAGTGCCGGTTTCAAGCTGTCAGATGCTATAGCGAGCTACAGGCTTGGGCAGAGTAACTGGTGGCTACTTGGCATGTGGCTACTTGGCATGTAGTTTGGAGAAAGGCTTAGGTTCTCTGCAGGTTGCCTGCTCCAGAAAGACAGCAGGCAGATTGACTCATTCATGCCTCCAAATGGGTCTGGTATATAGACTTAAAACCCATATTCAAACACTCTCCTCTGGTGCCTCTCTCTACAGAGAGAGCCCAGTCGTGGAAGCAAAGGCCTACAGATGTCAAGGGCTTGTGGGAGTGGGTCTGTCTTAGGTTTTCATGTTTATGTCTGTTGCATTGCTGTTTGTGTTTCTTGCTTCCTCTTTTCTTCACTCTCTTCTCATGGGAGAGGGAGCACCTTTGTCTTGAGCTCGAGCTGCAGGTGGTAAACTACATGGGGTTTGGGATGACAGGCCGAGCAGGAACATGTGGGAGCTTTAGCTCTACGGTGTCTTGCCGTGGCTCCTGTCTAAGAGAAGACTTTCCTATTTTCCAAGCCCACATTCTCAGCATGCTCATTTCCTACCTATAAGGTTTTTACTGCACAGCCTGCAGGAGCCAAGCATCCTGCGGTCCCAGATGAAATTTTAGCTTCCTGTGCATCCAGATCGCAGATGCTCAGCTTCCTCTCAGGCTCTGCAGCCTACCCCCATGCACATAACATCTCAGGCCTTTGCACCTCTTCTGTTGACAGCCCCTTTCTCCTTGTAGGCAGAATCCCTTTGTAATCCTCATGGCCCTGCTCCCCAGCACCAGAAGCCTGCCCCACTACACACCTGCCTCCCCACACAGCCCGTGCTCTGGGTGGTTACCATCCCCTAGGGATAGGAAATAGCCAAGAGCAGGCCTACAAGAGCAGGCAACCCTAGAGTGGCAGGCACCACAAAGACAGATGTGCCTCTGTCAGGAGGGTAACAGAGGAAAAGATACCGCAGACATGGCCACCTTTCTGAGGCCCAACAACACCTCAAGGCTTTTGAATGATTGCTTAGTAGCCTCTCAGCTTAGGACAGAAGAAGGAAGGGTTTGGTAGGGTGAATGGGGCCATTCCTCAGGAAGGCGTCAGTGCTTTGCATTGGACATACATTTGGGAGGTTGAGGAGGGTGTCTCAGTGGGCTTCAGAGTCACAGCTCTCAGGGTGACTGGGAAGGATATTGTGAGCTATTGGTTGGGCTCAGTAGTCAGAAGGTGTGTACTGAAAATGGCACTGCCCCATCCACTGCACCCCTTTCTGAAATGTCAGTAATAGGAGAGGGAATGGACCATGCGGAAGGGTTTGCAGAGGAGCAGCTGGAGGAAGGAGGGATGGACAGATTTATCATTGCAGTTATGGGAAAGGGGGGAGACTGGCATCACAGCCCTTCAGTCGGGGCTGGCCTGAGAAGGTCTCAGCCTCCCACAGAGGTCTCAGCAACCAGGCACCTGACAGAACGGTGCTGGGGTAATCTCTCTTGTTAGCATTTTCCTATTCAGGCAGTCTGAATGACACTGCATCTTGGCAGCTTTTGTCTGGATTAGTAGCCCAGACTGTTTAGGAAGTTTTTCCTTTAGATTTTTATCTCAACTTTGTCCTCAGCAGAGACCCCTTAAGACATGTACTGGGACAAATGAGAAGGGGCTTGGACACCTTCCTCTGCGCTCTTGAGTTTTGTCCCCCATGTCCCTGGTACAGGATTACTGGCTCTTCTCACCTGTCGCACACATCCACCTTTCCTCTCTCCCTCCCCACTTCCATGTCAAATTTCTCTCCTTCATTATTCCCTCACCAGAAGCCCCCCTCAGCCAAATAGGTCCCTCCACCTCTACACGTTTCCAGCAGTGGGATAGTCTGTGGCAGGGGGCCCCAGCAAAAAAGGGGGGAGCAGGAAGGGAGAGTCTGGGGCGGGAGCCACAGGCAAACAGGAGTGAGCCAGTATCCAAGGCCTGACTGACCTGCCGCCCCATCTTTGTAAGCACCGACTGCTCTGCCCCACCATACCCTCTGGTTGGAGGTTGCTTTGCCACTGTCTATCAAGAGCCTTGAGACTGCTGGGCAGGCAGTCTTCGGGAGCCCAGTCACCAACCCAAAGCTATGCTTGCCGTCATGACCAGGCCTCTTCACACCACACTGAGGCCGGAATATTACCGGGCCCTTTTGGAGGAGGATAGTAACGCTGTGAGCCAAGGTGCGCCATTCTCCCCTCCCTGCCTCGACTTTTCCACCTGGCAAAAGGGAGCGGCGGGCATCCCAGAGGGCTGAGCTGGGAAGCTGGTTGCCGTCAGTGGGCTCGTCTGTGTTCACAGATCCATGAAGGAAGGAGGGTGACACAAGCCTTTGCTTCAAGAAACTCCCTGTCTGGTAGGCAAAGAGCTCTATGGCAGGCAGGGAGCATGCTCATACCCATACAGCTGTGCATTATGTCTTATACCTTTTCCCATTGCCTTTTTATTTCTAGAAGTATCCCCAGCTTCGTCCAGTTCTGGGAATTTCAGCCAATTCACACCAGATTCAGCCACCAGCCCACATTCAGCATCCTCATCCCCACAGCCTACGGCTAAGTCTCGGAAGGGCAGAGAAGATGGCAGGGAGGGGGCGAGGAAGGCCAAGAGCCGGACAGCTTTCTCCAAGGAGCAGCTGCAAACCCTGCACCAGCGGTTCCAGAGCCAGAAGTACCTCAGCCCCCAGCAGATCCGGGAGCTGGCTGCTGCCCTGGGGCTCACCTACAAGCAGGTGAACACGGAGACTTTGACCCATGGTATATCTGCCACACAGCGGCTGAATGGTCACATAAGGCAGTGACAGGATAGAGAGATGAGTCCCCAGCAGAGAGTAGAGGCAAAGGTGCCAGCTAACAGTTGCTCCCCTGCCTTTTCATGCCCAGAGATCAGAAGCGCTTCTGGGGGACCGAGAGTCGGTGGCACCTCATTGGGGCCTCCCCAGTGAGGGGTCAGTTAAGGGTACTGTTGCCAATGCTTGTAGTAGAATTGCAAACGCAGTGATGAATATGTTGTTTACCATAAACAGCCTCTACCCTGGGCTTGACAGAACTTCACAGACTTTTTCCATGCACTGGTGAACTTCACAGAAACCCTGGCATGCATCAGTTCTCTGAATCCCAGGGCTGCAACGTGCTGAAAGCTATTGCTAACGTTTCCCAGGGCTGATCTTGTCCAATATCTAATAACGTCCCGCACTCAGCACTGCCTGGCTGCTTGACACCTGCTCCCCCCTCCATGTGGGTACTGCTAGGTTCATACGTCGCAGCCCTTCAGGGCCTCTGCTGATCTCCAGGTAGGTTGCGTGTAGTGAACTGGTGCTGGCTCAAATGATGCTTTCCGTAATCAGAGGGGGCTGGGCAATGGGGCACAAGTGCTTGCAGTTACAAGTCCAAAATCTGCCTGGAATTTGGATCTCAGAGCTCGGCATGATGGCCTGGATGTCCGGGGATGCCCTGGGACTAAAAAAGTTGCATGTGCATTGCAGGTGCACACATACACACACACACACTGAACTGGTTCTGTCAGGAACAAGACGGGTGGGGCGATCAGTTCTTTCCTTCAATCCACATCCCTGCAAAGGCTGCTCTCACAGCGCAGACACAGCCCTGGGGGGAAACGGCTCTGGAATTCACCCCAGGAAGGAGCTTTGAATTTGGGAGCTGCTGGGTGCAAGGAGCAAGCCCCTCCCCTCTCCTCTCACAAACGTGCAGAAACAGTGTCTTACAAGTTTGCCTGTAGCGCAGGAGGCTTGTAGAGACCTGGGTGGGTCTAATTTGTACCAGTTATTCATCTCCATGATTGAAATGAGTCGATTTGTCACAGCTATAACTGTCCTGTGGCCGTAATGCTGCTCCCTCCCCCCACCATGCAGATGCACTAGCCACCTGCTGAGGCTGCTAGACAGACATCTCCCCTTGGCAGCAACCCCAGGGAGCTCTTAAAGGGCTTTATCTGCTGCTGCCCATATATCTATGCCATCTGGTCACTCTTTGCTGCTTGTAAATCTGATAACATTTGCTCTTCCCTCTCCTTTGCTGATCTTTTCTCTGCTCTCCCTTCCCCACCCAGGTGAAGACTTGGTTCCAGAACCGGAGGATGAAGCTGAAAAGGTGCCAGAAGCATAGCCTGTGGACTGAACGGGCTCAGTGCCTCACACAAGTAAGAACATAGCACATGGCTCAGCATGGCGCATCTATCTGGGCAGATAAGTCCTGTGGTATACTTCCTTCACGGGGGGAACTTAAGCATCAAGTATCAGCGTACCCTGCCTTCTGGTTTGTTCAGCGCAGAGGCACAGACTTGGCACGACTCTCCGTGTTCTGTAGGTAGCCTAGCAATGGGCTGACTATGCCACTGAAATGCTTCCAGAGAAAAAATATTTTCCTCA